GCTGCAGCACCGGTCCTGCTGGAGGGTCCGTGCGGCGTGGTGTAGAGGAGGCTGCCGGCGGTCTGCTCCGCGCCGGGGACACTGGGGAGGAAGGGGCTGGCGGCGACGGCGCCGCTTTGGAGGGAGGAGGAACAGGAGGTGGTGGAAGTGTTCGTGGTGAGGATCTGGATGTACGCGCCCGGGGCGGCGGCAGCGGCGGCGGCGGCGGCAGCGGGGAAGCCGGGGCTGGCTAGCAGTGCCCTTTTGTCCATGGAGGCTGCAGCGGCGGCGGCGACGACTGTCGCCCCCTCCCCACCCCCGGCGGTCACCAGGTACTGCTCCAGGGCGGGCTGGATCCCCTTTCTCATCTCTCGGTTCTGCTCTTTTTATTGCTATAGAATATTAATGTATTGTTTTCAATTTCTTTATTATTTGCAGTCCGAGTTTCCAAGTCTCTCCTTCTCTCCTCCCCGCCCGGCGCTTCCGAGCCCCTTCTCTCTCTTTTTTATTTTTCGGCACCGCACGGGCCCCGGGGGCCAAAAATAATCGGGGATCTGGAGAGAGGAGGGTCCCGGCCGCACGGATATCGGGCCCCAAAGAGGGATGGAGGCGTCGGGGGCGGCCGATGCAACGGATTGCGAGTCGGCAGCGGCAGCCCGGGTGCTGCGGCCGGCAGCTGAAAAATGGCTCCAGGAAGCTGCTGCTGACAATGAATGAAGGGATACGGTTTACGCGCCAAGGTCCTCCCGCGAAACTCAGATTTCCCGCCGGCTTTTCAAATGATATTTGCATATCCCCGCCCCTCAACCCGCGGAGGACCGTTCCCACAGCTCATTGGGTCTCTATCTCCTTACTTCAATCCCAATCGTTGAGCGGGACCGAGACTTGATGGTTTCCATTGGCTGCCATGCATCATGGTTACCGGGGCGACAGGGGTCCTATTTGCATAGCCCTCCTTGATTGGCTGGAATTTTAGGGGGTGGGGCCAAGCCATTTTCTCCCACGGAAGACCACGCCTGGTATAGGCTCCGCCCAGGTGCCCGCCCACCAGCCAGGCGGGCGCTGCTGACCTGGGCAGGGACTCCGCTCCTTGCCGACTCAGTGTCGGTCTATTCTAGAGCGCAAGTTTCGCTTTTGGAAATTGTCAAGGTGACCAAGGGGACACCTTCGGGAACGCTCTTTCCTTTGACTAGTCAGTGTAGGAGATGAACAACTGGAGATTCTCCTATGTGACTAAGGCAAGTTGAACTATGCGGACGATGCCTGGCAGGTGGAAACTGAGCCCTTTAAATCATGGGTTTCTCCCTTCCTGAAATCCAACCAATGCCGCGGCGAGAGCTGATCCGGAGGCCGACGCTGATAGACAGAAGCATGTGGGCAGATAGAATTGTGAGGACAGAGGGTTGGACTGACCTGAAAGCGAGCACTATTTAGTTAACATTCCAGATCATTCCTGGTAGCTTCATTATAGGCCTGGATTGGTTTTAAGTAAAAATTAACTCTAAATGTTTTGTTGAGTGAAATCTCATAAGTGTTGGTCCGAGTCTAGCAAACACCTCACACTGGCCCAAAAGCACCTAGGTAAGTTAATCAAGGCTAACCTAAGATTCATCTGCGGGTTTCTAATCAGCCAAGCAGTAACCCAGAGAAGTACACGCTTCCCTCCGTGATGTTTTGCTCCCAACCAGTTCTGCTGCAACAGCCCTTTACAATCTGTTTCATAGCAAGTTACCTGCCAAAGCAAACGCGACGACCCAAACTTATTCCAAGATATTTAAATAGAGCTTTTTTTTAGTAAACTAGGAATTGTCACCAAAAAAAAATATTAAGTTATTGTCAAATTGACATCTATATTGGTGCAAGTATTCGTGGTTCTTAAAATTGAAGACTGCACCTGTGAGACTGAGCAGGAACTTCTGCAGGAATGTGGGGGAGAGGTGTACTTGTCAGGTCATCATATACAATTCCAGTCGCTGAGAATTGTACAAAATATCTGCTGAGTTGGTGTTTACTGGGTGATGAGGATTACAATACCTCAAGCCCCTTCCCAAGACTTTATTTTTATTATCATTATTAATAATAATTCCTGAACACTCATATATACTCAGTCTTATGCAAGGCCTGAAAAGATGTATCAATTCAGGCTCAGGACTGAATTGGGACTGAAACTCCTAATGTTTCAGTCCTGTTACTTTGTTGGAAACAAAATGAGCTATTAAATCTTGCACCAGGCAGAATATGTTGGTCCTGCACTCAAGCTAGTTAAGGATCCATGGCCTAGTACTCAAATATCTATGGACCCAAACATTTATAATAGAACTGGCACCAATTTTAGGACATATTTATTAGGTGGTACATCAATTCCTGGTTGGGTTAGAGGCTAATGCATTAGCAACTTCCTTGATATTGTTCTATCAGTGTTGTTTTCCACTGTGGGTCACCGTGGAGAAAACTAATGCTGTAACTACTTAGCTATTACCTGCTGCAGAACATCGCTGGTAGCATGCATTTGGTGGTGGTGAGGGTTGTGGGTGAAGGGTGCTGCAGCATAGTCATTATAAACCTGTGTCTTCAGATTAGAGGCAAACCTAGGATTTGGGACTGTGTACAAGATCCCTGCTAGAACTTGCACAAGTGATTGCAATAAGATGACTGACACAGCCACAGAGAAGCAAGTGTTCACAGTCCAGATCCATACCTTTGATTCTGATTTAAAAAGCTTTGAAATATGTACCATCTTTCCTTAGCCAACATTATATTTTTTAATATAGGGTATTTGGCAGAGAAACAGATATTTTGACCTTTTATGTCTAGTGACCCCAGACTGAGGAGGTGGAAGGAAGAGTTCAAAGAGAGAAGAGGTATTGGAAGATGAGATGCTAAAATTTGAGGTAAGCTATTTGTGAAGAGGTAGCGTGCTCTAGTACAAAGATAATGGGCTTTGGAGCCAGAGTAATCTGGGTTTACTAGCTATACAACTTTAATTTTTAAAAGCCTGTTTTCTCATATATTAAATGGGAACCCATATTGCAGTACCCATATTGAAAGGTTATGATGAAAAGAGACAATAATAAATATAAAGTGCCAGGCATATAGCAGGTGCTCAATAAGTGGCAGCTATTTATGCTACTACTTATTCGTGTAGTTGTGCTTTGCATCTTTTTGTAGTCCAATCTGATTCCTAGTCTCTAATCTTCCTATTGCCCCTGGATATCCACTTGCTGTGGCAGCTTAGCTTTGTCTGAGAGTAGCAACACAATTGTGTCCTGGTTAGTACGGATTATAGAATCCTGACTCAAATTCAAGGTCATAAAATAAAGTCAGCTCTGCTGTTCATCTCACTTTAACCTGCTCGTCTGTTAGTGGCCAGCTGCTGGTTGGTTCCTAAGTCTGAGCCCTCCTAACCTTCCCTTAAAGGTTAGACTACTCCAGCACTAGAGCCAGACTGCTCTTGCCAACATTTCCCCCTCCTTTCCCTTGCTCTGAATTGGACTGTGCATTTGTTTGAATGGTGCCCCCCCTTATATGTCTAAGTCTTAGTCTCTGGAACCTGTGAATGTGACTTTATTTGGAAAAACGGGCTTTGCAGATGTAATTAAGAATCTAGAGGTAAAATCATCTGGATTATCTAAATCCAATGTCAAGTGTTCTCATAAGAGACCAGAGGATAGACACACAGAGTGGGAAAGAAGGCCATGTGAAGACAAAGGCAGAGATTGTAATGAGCAGCCACATGTCAGGGAATGCTGACAGCCACCAGTTACTGGAAGAGTCGAGGAACAGAATCTTGCTTAGAGCCTCTGGAGGGAGCAGATTTTGGACTTCTGGCCTCTAGACCTGTGATAGAATAAATTTCTGTTGTTTTCAGTTACCCAGTTTGTGGTAATTTATTATGGCAGCCATAGGAAACTAATAGTCTGTTAGCCTGCCTACCTTAACCTTGAAACCTCTTAGCTGCTATTCACCTTGTTGTGTGTTGCTGCCAAGATATCATTCCTTGCTGGACACCGATGATACTAATTGCCAGCCTGGGCTAGGGCCTCTGTTAAAGATTTTTTAAAGTATGACTTGCTGACTGCCTGGCACAGACTCACCTAAAGAGCTTGTAGAAATGCAAATTCCTGAGCTTTATCCCAACCTAATGAATCAGAGGGCCCCAGAAACTCATTTAACAGGTCCCTCCAGGTAATTTTTTTGAGCACTAGAGATTGAGGGCCACAGTCAGTTGTATGACTTTGGGCTTCTTCCCATTAATTCCCATTGCCATAGCTAGAATGGCGACGCCTGTTCCTAGAGGCCTTGATGGGTGTTTCTAATTTTCCTGCCCCTTATCATCCTGCCTGTTCACATAACCTCTGAATTCCTATCTCTACCCCAAGTGTATGTGTGTGTATACACACATATACACATATATACACATACATACACACATATGTATGTATAGACATACATACTATTATGTAAAGACATACATACTATGTATGTAAAGCTCAATGTTACAATGTTCTCTATAAGCCTTCATTTTCAATTTCGAAATACAATTTTGCCAACATCCAGAAGATATATCTAAAAAACTCCCTTAGATATATCTAAGAAACAATACTATTAAACAGTTGTGTGAGAATACAATATTAAATCTTCAAATGGAAAAATTGTAGGCATAGGAGATTAAGGAAACTGCTTACAAGCCTGCAAGTTCTTCGGAACATTTACAGTTTAAATTGTGCCTCTAATTTAGTTCAGCCAAATCTGGTTGCCACATTGGATTTAGAGTATGTAGTTTTAAATTTTAGAGTCTGGAGAAGACAAGTTGAAGACTTTAAGGATTTTATGTCGCAATTCAGTAAGTTGCCCACATAGAAATAACATTCTCTATTTTATCTTCCTGGTTAGAAAGAAAGGAATGTGTCCTTAAGCCATTACCACATCAAACACTAATAACAAAATTTCTAGGTGCTTATCCTAGAAAATTGACCAGTATAGTTATTATAGATAGTGGTTTAGATACCAGTGTAGAGTTTCTTGTCTCTAGTTCTTTGACCAGGAAGGTACTATTTGGATGGAGCTTCTGTGTTTTAAAATAAAACTAGGATGGACTTCCGTCATAGAGCATTGCTCTCAGTCACATCTACTGAATCTGAATCTCTGGTTGGAGTCTAGTAATCTGCATTATAAGCAGGAAAACTGTGATTCATGTGGTCCACAGAACACCTTTTGAGAAAGTGCCATGCAGGCATCCATGACCTAGCAATCTCTTTCCTAAAAATTGGCTTCTTAGGCAACTATGGCGTAGAAAATTCCCGTGTGGGTAGTATATTTTGAGCAACTGTTACCATTAACTTAGACTTTACGTGATTGCAGTTTACCTCTTTTACTAAAGCTCTTCCTGCTCCGTTAACAAGTCATGTGATTCAGACAAAATATACTAGATGGTTCAAAAGAAGGTTGTTATCTCAAAGGTGTGTGTTTCGTTCCCTTTTGAAACAGATCTTCATTGTAACGAAAAATACAGATACAGAAAACCAAACAAAACAAATGTATAGTTAAATGAATTATTAAAAGGTGAACATCTTTGAAATCACCACCCGGGTCAAGAAATAGAACTTGATCTGCCCTGAATTCCCTTTCACATACCCCATCATCATCACAATTCCTTCCCTCCCCGCAAAAGTAACTATTAGCCTGATATTTTGTCTTCACTTCTCTGTGTTATCTTTTAATTTTAATCACTCAGATATACATCTCTAGGAATAATAGTTTAGTCTTGCCCATTTAAGAAACGTTAATAGTCTTCTAAATTTCTTTCAATCTATGGTTCCTCATTCGTTCCTTTCACTTACCTTGGAACTTATCTTGAAGAATGTAGTGAGTTGAATAATGGCCCCTCCCGAAAGATACCAGAAATGTGAATTTGACCTCATTTAGAAAAGGGTCTTTACAGAGTAGTTAAGGTAAGAATCTTTTTTTTTTTTTATGGTGACATTGGTTAACAAAATCCAGTAAGTTTCAGGTGTACAATTTTATATATATATATATGTTAATATAGTGCATTTTGTGTTCACCTCCCATAGTTAGATTTTTTTCTGTCACCACATATTTGACCCCTTTTACCCCATCTACCTCCCTCCTCCCTCCTCTCCCCAAGGTAAGAATCTCAAAATGAGATTATCCTGGATTAGAGTGGGCTCAAAATCCAATATCGTTTATTTTATAAGAGAAGAGGAGAGAAGATTCTGAGAAGAAATCATGTGAAAACAGGCAGAGACTGAAGTTATGTGTCTACAAACCAAGAAACACTAAAGATTGCCTGCAGCCACCAGAAATAGGAGAAAGATGGAATAGATTTTCCCTGAGAGCCTGCGGAAGGAACCAGTCCTGCTGACATCCTAATTTCGAACTTTTGGGCAACTCCAGAAATGAGAGAGAATAAATTTCTGTTGTTTTAAGCCACCAAGTTTGCAGTCATTTGTTATAGCACCTCCAGGAAACTCATTTAAAAAACCTGGGCCATTTAACTTGATAGCCTGGATTTGGCAGTTTGCATACTCATGGTGCACTTGGCCATTCTCCTTTGCATTTCCTGCAGATTTGCAGCTGGATCCATAGTCTTGGTCAGACTCAGGTTTTTTCCTCTGGCAAATCTGAGGCATGTAATGTCTGCTAATCCCTTTTCTGTTATCTTAGCAGTTATTCATGTTTCTTTCTTTTTTCTTATAATATTTTCATATAAGATTTCTTCTCACTACTTTTCTGTTACTCATTTGTATGTGAAATTAGTATTCTTGGACTTCTAGAGTGAGGAGTGTTTAGATAAATTTGTCTACCTTCACAGAGGTCCATCTTCTACTGTTATGAATATGGAAGCTTACTTTCTGAGATTTCCTTATTATGCCCCCTCCACCTCCTACTTTAGTCTACTCTAGACCATCCCTTTGTCTCTCTTGTCCCTGTTCTGATCAGTTTTGGTTCCATTCCCAGCAGTTCCTCCTTAGCGTCTCCCTGTTTTAAAAGTGAGCCCTTAGGATCTGTTCTGAGAGGTCTACGGATGAGACTGCTGTAGTCCCTTCAGACCTTCCTACTGTGGTCCCTTGTTCTTGTCTGTTCCTGGCAGGGGCACAGAAACCCCTGTCAGTCTCAGCTGCCATTCCCAGTGAAGACTACTTGCATCCCAGTGAAGATCTACTGACTCTTTGGGACTTTTCCTATTCTTAGGTCCAATAGGCACTGCTTAGTTCTTTCCTCCCTCCTCACACATAGGTGCTAATACCACACAGCCCTTTGGCAACTGGTGGTTTGTCCCCCTTCACTCATATTTTGGGATTTGTGGGGCTACTTTGTCAACCAGTTTTGTTGTAAATATCGCTTGTGGATTTTTGGTTTTTCTATCTAGATGTCCTTCCTGTCTTCACATGGGGTAAGGAGAGATGAAAGGATGATGCCACCTCACCACCATCTTCAGATTTACCTTTCCTTTTCTTTTAAACATTACATTCAATGACAAACTACACTGGATTGTCATTGAAAAAAACTCCCATTTCCACAAGTGTTAAGGGAAAGGAAAGCTTTGAGCTATTTTCTTTTCAGTTTTTCAGAAATAACTTGAAAATGCGAGCTGAAGAAGAGAATGGAGTCAAGATGGTCAATTCACTTAGGCAATGATTAGAATGAGTTCTGGAATAGGAGGAAGCAGAGGAACACAAGTTACCTTTTCATAGTTGGTAGTCTGGTCGCACCTCTTTCTCGTGGGTTTTAAATGAGGAACATCGTTGTTAGTGTATCACAAATGGGCCTGTGGGTAGAAAATTACTTTTGCTCTTCCGCCTTGGTTTCATTGACAGCACTTCCTCTTGTTTCCTGTTCTGCCCCTTGACTTTCTGGATTTCCTTGAAGGCATCAGTTTCTTCTTTATTCTCTTAAAAATCTCCTCTTGATTTAAACAAATTATTATTATTGTAAAATATATGTAATATTTATCATTCTGATGACTTATAAGTGTAAAATTCAGTGGCATTAAATACATCCACCATGTCGTGTAACCATTGCCACTATATCTATACCCAAAACTTTTTTATTATCCCCAATAGAAGCTCCATATCCATTAACAGTAACTCCCTGCCCCTCCCACCAACCCCTCAAACCCCTGGGACTCACAATTCTACTTTCTCTCTCTATGAATTTGACTACTCTAGGTACCTCATAGATGTGAAATTATATAATATTTGTCTTTCTGTGTTTAGCTTATTTCACTTAGCATAATGTTTTCAAAAGTCCATCCATGTTGTAAGATATATCAAAATGCTGGATAATATTGCATTGTATGTATATGTTACATTTTGTTGATCCAGTCATCTGATGATGGACTCTTGGGATGCTTTCGCCTTTTGGGTTTTGTGAATAATGTTGCCATGCCTTAGTATACAAGTCCCTGCCTTTCACTCTTTGGGGTATATACCTAGCAGTGTGGAATTTCTGGGTCATGTGGCAGTTCTATGTTTAACTTTTTGAGGAGCTCCCTGGAGAATCTTGACCTTAGCTACAACTTCAACTGTGGTCAATGTAGTATTGTTCAACAGAACTTTCTACAACACTGAAAATGTTTCGTAATTCTGCACTGTCAAATATAATAGCCATTAGCCACATGTGGCTAATGATCACATGAACTGTAGCTAGTGTGACCAATGAATTGGATTTTTAAGTTCTACGTATTTACTCATTTTTTGCAACACAGTATTAGAACTATAGTCACCATGTTGTACATTCTATCTCCATGACTTATTTATTTTATAACTGGAAGTTTGTATGTTTTGACCCCCTTTACTCACTCAATTAATTTAAATTCAAATTTAAATAGCCACACGGGAGCCGAATCAGACAGCATATATCTATAAGCTGTAACTTCTTCTAATTCTGTATTTCCAACTTGACCATTATTCCTGAGTTTCAAATACCTACTTCCACTATGTTTTCCCTAACATTTCCTTAATTCACATGGTCTTTCTTATGTGAACTGTTGCTGTAGACTCCAAATTTATTTCCTAATGTGAAGTTGGCATCAAATTCTAATCATCTCTACTGCCAAAATGATCTTGTCTATTTTATCCCAGACATTTTAATTGGATCTAAACTATCTCCACGGGCAATGAGAGTTAAGTGAACGTTCTAAAATGTAAATCCAACAAACTTTAAAATGCCCAATTACCTGAAGAGTTAAGACTAAATTTCTTATCTTAGCCTACAAATTCTTAGGTTATCTTTCTAGTCTCATTTATGTTTCCAACAGAAAACAAGCACTCCAACCATCCCAAACTACCTGGAGTTCCTCAAATGCTCTCTCCCACTTCTATGTCTGATATAGCTATCACTCTGCTTGAAAACACCTATCACTTCTTTTCAAAATTAGAATCTATTATTCATCTTTTAAGACTCAGCTCAGGGAACACTTCCTCTGTGAAGCCTCCTCAGATCAACCCTCCCCAATATTATTCATTTAGCCAATAAATGTTTATTGAGCATTTACTTTGTGCCAGACTTCAATTTAGAAACTTCAGATATAAGTGAGAAACAGATAGACTCACAGTGTCATTATCAAGCTTGAAGATATAGGCCAGCAACCAGGGAATTATAATAATGTAACTATATGTTGTAATAATAATTACAATACAATAAATTCGCAATATGAGGCAATACATAGTGCTATCAAAACACTGCAGGACACTTAACCCAGACATGGGGTAGAGTTTTGGGAAGCCTTCCTGGAGGAAGAAATAGGTAGAAGAATGAGTAGGGATTATTTAGGTAATATAAAATGGAAGCAGAGAACATGAATGCATGGCTTCTTGAAGGGAATGAAAATGGCTCAGCAGGGAATTTTGATGAATCTAGTAAACAATCATCAATGAAAAAGTCATTGAGACAGAGGTGAGACATGATTTGGTCATATAAGGACTCCTTTGGCTGCATGGGGAATGCACTGGAGGGAGGGGACTGAAGCAATAGTTTAGTCTGTGATAGGTCAACTGTGGCCCCTGGCCAAATCTGATCCACCCTCTGTTTTTGTACAACCTGCAATTCAAGAATGATTTTTACATGTTTTACGTTTTTAAATAATTGAAAAAAATCAAAAAGGAATATATCCCATGACACATGAAAAATTAAATGAAATTCAAAGTTTGTTTTTCATTAATAAAGTTTTGTTAGATCACAGCCACGCACGTTTGTTTACATATTGTCTATGGTTGCTTTCAGGCTACTAAAGCAGAGCTGAGTGGTGTCGACAAAGACAATTAACCCACAAAGCTGAAAATACTTACCCTCTGGCCCTCTACAGAAAGAATTACCTACCTCTCATCTGTCTGAGACATTGTCGTGAATTAGACCAGACAACCCAGGCAGACTTAGAGGTTTCCTTCTCTCCTTTTCCATAACATGAATTAAAATGATATTCTATTGATTTGTTATTGTTTTCTATTTTTCCGTCTTCCGCTAAACTGTGAACATCTTGACGCAAATCTATTTTCTTTAGTCAACTTCGTCTTTTTGGTTCTTAGCACATAGTACATGCTTAGTAAATGACTGTTGGTAAATAGATATGTGTGGATTATATGAGTATGATACATACAGCTATACATAAAGCATCCACTGCTTTTGCTTGCTGGCCATTCTTCTCCACTGCCAGGAACCATGTGATTTAGTTGAAGCTGAGCCCTTTTGCTCCTATTCTAAGGGTGGGACTGTGATCCAGGACTGTGATCCTAGTAAGTCTTTTCTAGGCCTGTGGTTTTTAATACTTGGCGGTTCACAAGACCATTTTTTCCTTTAGTTCGATTTTGCCTAGAGTTGACTTTACTTTCATCCTGCCCAAAGCTATGGAGATATCCGTGAGGAAAATTGAAAGTTTATCTTTCTAGGTACTCACTAGTCCTATTCTTAGGCACACATATGCATAGGAGGTAGGACCTAATGTCAAGGGCAGACGTGGATGACAGCATTGTGCGTGCTTTTAGAAATGCCCTTGAGGGTAGAGGAAGCCCTAAGAGAAACGACAATGGAAAGGCAGAAGAGCAAATGAGAAAGATGAAAGGCACGAGGAAGAAAAAGAAAGGTAGAGTATGGAACTGTGAGAGTGCTATGGACAATTGCCTCCAGTGCTTTATTTGCATAAGTGAATCTAAGGTGAATGGTAGGTATTTTGGAAGGAATATTAATATTTTGAAGACTGGGTATAATTTAGTAAAGGTAATGATATCTTAATTTGTGAATACAGATTATAAAGCCTTATGCTTTTTGCATTAAAATATTTTAATTTTATAAGTAATATATGTTCTTATTTTAAAATTCAAAAAAAATAGTCACAATAAACAACTAGGTTAGGAACTTTTACCTTCTGTAATACATTTCTAACCTCCTGAAAAACCTAACATAGAGGGTTACAGATATTAAATGCCAAGCCCAAAG